TATATATATATATATATATATGCGCGCGCACGGACATGCTTTTCTATTTTCAAAAATATATATAAATATTTACTAAAAACATTCTTCGTTATATTATTTTCAAAAAAAATCACTCTTCTAATAAATTATTTCAATAAAATAATACTCATAAAAATATATTATGTATATAATATTCTATTAAAATCCATTTTTCATATATATATATATACATANNNTATATATATATATATATTTTTTATTTGAACATAAAATTTTATTATAAAATAGGAGCTATTTTTTGTAAATATATTTTTTTTATATGAAAAAACCTTTGATACAAAAATAATCATTTTTTGTTGACATTTTGAGTGAATGAATATTCCTTTTGTTCATAATTATATTCTACTTTTGAAGAAAAAAAAAATGAGTATAATGATTTTTATGCTTATTTTTCTTTTATTGTTACCTTGATTTATTGATAAAATGTTTATGACATTTATTTTTGAATGATTAGTCTATAAAACGTTGATTGCCGATTATTTGGTATTTTAAGGTAGAGATAAATGTATATAGAGTTATCATATTTTATACTTTATTAGTTTATACAATAAAGTTTGAATTCATTAGATGATCACATTTTAATATACCAAAATTTTCTTAGTATGTACTGATAAAAAAGAATCACTTGTATTATGTAAACTGAAGAAAAAAAAAACCAATAACAATTAAATGTTTAATTACTTAATTTGATACCATCTATTTAATTTAATAATTTAATAAAAAAAAGTAAAATATTTATCTTAATACAAACTATCCTTTTAGAATTTTTATTTATTATTATTTTTTTTAAATGACAAATTAACTAACTTATCTGAATATCATTTATGTCTCCTAAAAGATTTGAACTCATACATCTCATTTGAGAGAATCACATCTTACGACTAGGCCAAAAGCTCTTTGGTTAAATTTTTGTTAAAATGCATTTATTGGAAATTAGATAGTTATTCGAACTTGTTGTAATTGTTTTTAATTAAATAAAAAAAAGTTCGGTAGCTTCTTTTACTTTTAGTGTTTGTTAATGTTATTTTTTAGAGAAATATTTAAAACTTTTCCTATGATTATAAATGATAATAATATAACGACAAAATAACCTTCCTGTAGTCACATTTACTGTGCGGCCGTTACAACTTAATTTCCTCATGTGCTCACAAAATAATTATAAATTGATAGGGTGCAAAACTTAGTTGACCATAAAAGGAAAATTTTAATATCCTTTTACTTTTTTCATATTTACTCTCCTACTCTTCTTTTTTTCATATTTGTTCTTCTATTCTATTTTTTTTTTCTATAAATGACTATTCTCCTACTAATATAATATAAGATAATGATATATGAATACCGTTAATTCTTCTTTTAATCATTTTTTTTATTTTGTTATTTGTTTTTATGTAACTAGTAGAATGATAAATACCAAGAATATAGGATGATATTTGATTTCTTGGAGACTTTTAATACATCTTTTGATTATTGAATATGTATACATGGTAAAGTTTATTAAAGGTATACGTTATTATCTTTTAGACAAAACTGCAAAAATGGTTCTTGTGGTTTGTATTTTTTCTGAGGTTTAGTTCAAATCTTGATTTTTTTGGATTGGCAGTCATTTTGGCCTAGTTTCGATGTGTATTTGGTCCTTCGGTAAACTGAAATGACTGCAATCCCCCTCATGTATTTATTTTCATTTTTCTTTCATTTTTTTAATTTAATTATATATATATATATATATATATATATATATATATATATATATATATATATATTAATATTAAGAAATAAAGAGAGGGTCCACTCTCTCTCTCTCTCTCTCTCTCTCTCTCCCCCCACAACGATATTCCTTCTCGCTTGTTTACACAAACACATACATACACATAAATTCCTGCAAATAGAACGCAGAGAGACAAAAACAATAGATTTACTAAAACATAGAGACCAAAATCAAAGTTTCATGTTTACGAAACAATAGGCATCAAAGCATGGAGGAGAATGATTGGAACCGGCGGTGGCTGTTTTATTCACGATCCAAGTTCCTCGAAGAAAATCAGAACTGGCGATGGAGATCGTGAAATCGCACACAGAGAATACTACAGAAACCGGGATCGATTTTTGGAAGAAATCAATATGGGTTTGTTCTTCAAACACATTAGTGATGGCGACGACAAATTGCAACATTTCCGAACCACAATCAGAACCATATTTGATTTGGAGTTTTAGTTTCAGATCGATTTCAGATTCAGAGATAATCTCCAAACCATCTTACCGATTTCCTTTCTCTGATTCAAAACCCCAAGCCTTCATTTCCGTCTCCTTTTTCTTTAGAATCAATAAATGTGGAGATTTGGGGTTTTAGTTTCGGAGGTGTGCATTACGGGACTCTGTCGACACCACCTTCTCTACCGTCTTCTCCGGCGACAGTGGGGTTGTAGGAGATGAACATCAAAACACCGCTAGAAGATGTATGCCACCGAGATGGAGGTGAATCTGGTGACGATCTCAAAGGGAAGCGTCGAATCTGAATCTCCATTGATGGAAGATGCTTGGGGCATCACTGAAATGACATCGGATCCTGCCACGGTCATCAACCTTTGTATACCGATCTTTGGTTCAAATTTTGCTTAGCAACTTTAAACCAAGACGCCCCTTTATCGCCTTGCAATCAATACAAAAATCGATATTTGGAAAATGAGGATAGTTCGATTGAGCACTGGATGATTTCTTATTTGAACTGGATGTAGAAATCGTGAATTTCTTTTTTTTGTGCTTCCGATCACCAGATTCTTTATGAAAGAAGGGGAATATTGGTTATTGTTTAATTAGGTTTGTGTTT